TGGTCCCCCCCCCCCCCCCACCCTGCCCCCGGTGTTTGCCATCGGGGTTTGGTTTTCGTCGCTTGGAAACAAAACGTTGTAATGCAAGCCCCCCCCTGGTGTTTGCCATCGGGATTGGGTTTTCGTCACTTGGCAGCGATGAGGTCGAACATGCCGATCACTTCGTGAACTCGGCAACCAGGTTACCGTTTTTTATTGCCTTTTTTTTTTGCGGTGACCATGAATGGTGGTCGAGCAGAATATGTTGTGCGGGGTCGAGAACCGTCACTCCGCGTAATGGGGATGATCGCATCACGTTGCAAATAATTGTTCAGGCACCCTCGAAGCAGTTACACCGTGCTTACAACTGTCTCTGGACGTGAACGCACCAGAGCATAAACTAAATCATACGCAGCTGTCATCCGTACGCAAGGAAGTAAGCCCAAGATGCCGAACACCCTTAGCAGGATGCAGCGCACCCTTCATGTGACTCGACGAATACCTCACGGCGCTTCACCCTTGGTGATGTGAGAGCCTGGTCCGGTGAGAACCCGGTGTGCTCCGTCTCGCTTTGTAGGGGTGCGAGGTCAATGATCTAACGACTACGACATGCACGACAATGAGCACCCCTCCCGGCCCTCAAGTGGGTTGGCGCTGTTGGCAAAGCGATTAAAACACGCCACCCCAATTATAGCCCCCATAGTATGTGCTACCAAAGACGCGTGACGCATGGACGAGTGGAGTGAGGATAGCTGTTTACGGAAACTTCACAGGTTGAGTAATGTAGGGGACTGCCGGACACATAGACGTGTTGAGTGATTAGCTGTATACTGAAACCTCAAGGGTTGAGTGAGGTTTGAGATTGCCAGACACATGGACGGGTTGAGTGGGGATAGCTGCATACTGAAACCCCACGGGTTGAGCGATATTGGAGTGCCGGACACATTGACGCTTTGAGTGAGGATAGACACATACTGAAACCTCACGGGTGGTTTGTGATGGAGATTGCCGGACACATAGACGGGTTGAGTGAGGATAGCTGCATACTGAAACCTAACAGATGCATTGGTTTTTGAGTTGGCCAGACACATAGACGGGTTGAGTGGGGATAGCTGCATACTGAAACCCCACGGGTTGAGCGATATTGGAGTGCCGGACACATTGACGCTTTGAGTGAGGATAGACACATACTGAAACCTCACGGGTGGTTTGTGATGGAGATTGCCGGACACATAGACGGGTTGAGTGGGGATAGCTGCATACTGAAACCTCACAGATGGGTTTGTATTGGAGTTTGCCAGACACATACATAGACGCGCTGAGTGGGGATAGACACATACTGAAACCTCACGGGTGATTTGTATTGGAGATTGCCGGACACATAGACGCGTTGAGTGAGGATAGCTGCATAGCCTCACAGATGGATGGGTTTTTGAGATTGCCAGACAAATAGACGCGCTGAGTGGGGATAGCTACATACTGAAACCCCACGAGTTGAATAGATGTTGGATAGTGCCGGACACATGGACGCTTTGAGTGAGGATAGCCACATACTGAAACCTCACAGGTGATCTAGTATTGGAGATTGCCGGACACATAGACGTGTTGAGTGAGGATAGCTGCATATTGAGACGAAACGGATTGAGTGACGTTTGCGACTGCCGGACACATAAATAGACGCATTGAGTGAAGAAAGCTGTGTACTGAAACCTCACAGGTTGATTTGTATTGAAGATTGCCAGACACATCGACGCGTTGAGTGAGGATAGGTGTATACTGAAAATCCACAGTAGCTTAAAGTGAGGGGACAACTCGAGAATGCAGTACACATAGACGCGACCCCCAACCCGTACCCGAACCCCCCCTGAAAAGCAGAGGCCATGCGCCCCCCCCCCCCCCCCCCCCCCCCCCCCCCCCCCCCCCCCCCCCCCCCCCCCCCCCCCCCCCCCC